AACCTCAAGAAACACTTAAAGGTAAATTGTCATTTTTACATTCTAATAATATTTATTTTATAAGACTGTTCATGAGTTTTAAGGAAATGGAGAAACATCTAAATAATTTTGGTATAGGCTACTCTACATCCAAAAAGACTCATTCAATTCAAACCAAATTAATTAATAATGCAAATGACAATATTTCTCAGAAATTGGCTGATAAAGTTTGTTGATTTTATAATTTATACAGTTCAGCCAATGTCCTTAGTTGATAATCCATCATTTATTATGATGAATAAAACTCTATCCTCTGGTAGAATAATTTTGTGCCGCTAGACACTAATGAATAAAATAGCATATAACTTTAAAATGATGAAAGATGCTCTAATAGTAGAGTTATCAGAGATATCATATATATGTACCACGGGAGATTGTTGAACACAAAACAGAAGGTAAACTTATTTAAATTGATCTGATTAAATATTTTTGAGCTTATTTGGGAATCACAGGCTATTGGCTAGACCTTATAACTTTAAAAGAAGATCTGTGGCATTAGCCCTCAAAATGATAATAGGATGCCAGACATACGATGTACTTGCAAATAAAATTATTGTTAATCTATCTTATATTAAAAATATGCATATAAGATTAAATACGCCCTTACCCTCAAGTGCTAGTGTCGAGAGATTATTTAATAAGGCAAAACTTATACTTTCTGATCGTCGCTCTAGACTTGGGGATGATAATATTGAAATGATTTTATTATTAAAATGCAACAAATTACCATAAATATTTATTTTTATTACATAAATTTTTTTATAATCAAAACTAACTATATTTTAATATTTATAAATGTTGATTTTTATATATTTATTATACAATAACATTATAAGCAAAAAATAAAAAATTTGTTTGTAAATTTTTTTTATAAAAAGTAGCTTAAAAAGAGCTAAAGCTACTTTTAAAAAATAGTAGCTAAGCGAGCTACTTTTTTAGACAAATTGCGATAGCGGTAGCGCGCTACTTTTAAAAGTAGCGCTTAACAACTCTGCTCAGGAGGCTCAAAAAATTTAAAATATTTTTAAATTTATTTTTATCTAACATTATCTAAAATTACTTTATTAAGTTGTATAAAAAAAAATTCAAAATTTTGAAGGGCTCTTTAAATTTTTCAGGGGGCTTGATTCTCTAGGCCCCACCCCTAGTGACACCTAAATAGTTATTAATATATTTAACTTATAGAATAGAATCAAGTAAAAGAAATATATTATCACAATATCATAAAACACACCTGCAAATAAGAAAAGGAGCTTCTCAAAATCAGAGGTAACATTACTAATTTGGCGTGTACAGATGCGATGCAAAAATTTTAGTCTGATTGGCTTTCTTTTGCTAGAAAAACATAGAATAAAGCAAAATATTTAATAAAACCCTTAATTTTATAAATATCTATAATTTTTAAATTAGGTGCTCCAGAGATTTAGGAAAAGACAAAATATTAATTTCACACAATCTAAAAGAACGAGAGTGCAAATTATAAAATTTATATTAATTCCTAGAAGATTACGATAATGCAGAAAGGGATTAAAATAATGTCAGCCTCTCCATGACAGGATTTTTACCAGGTGAAAATCCCCTGAAAAACCTATACCAAATCGCCTATAAGATTTTCGCATGTTTTCACATTATTTTACACCTTTTTAATTATGATAGTACTCCTTTCATAAATTTTAAAAAGAATAACTTTCACATTATTTTACACCTTTTTAATTAATAGTACTCCTTTCATAAATTTTAAAAAGGATAACTTTTAGTTCTACTAGCAACTATAAAAATATTTTGAATATAAAAAAGTTATTTTTTAGATCATGAATAAAATTAAAAACCCGCTCATTTGCAATGAATGAATTAATATAGCATATTGTTTAACATGGATGTGAGTGCTGAGAATGTCTAACCCTTTTAAATTATTAAATAATATAATAGAAAGATTTATTTGGAAAATCATTTCTATTGTTGTTTGCAAATATAGATTTGGTCGATGACAGTGGCGTCGCTAGGGGGCGCAGGGGCTCGAGCGGAAGGGGGGAGTGGGTTTGATGAAAATCTTATTGCAAATTATTTTATTTAAAATATGGTTTCAATTTATAAATAATTATATACTATATGAAAATAAAATATATTTTAAAAAACAAATAATTGTTAATTTTAAATGATAACATGGTTTAAAAATATATATTAAAAATTATATTCTAAAATATTAAATAACAATAAAAATATATTGTAAATTTTTTCTCGCATAGTTAAATTAGATAATAAATTTTATATTGTTAAACTAATTAGATAGTTTTAAAAATTTAAATTAATTTTTTATAATTTTTAAATAAAAGAAAAATCATTTAATTTGATTAATTTTTTATAATTTTTAAATAAAAGAAAAATCATATAATTTGGGAAATATAATGAGAAAGTAAAGGTGATTTAATATGTTTGGGATTAAAAATTTTAAACCTAGAGTAGTTTCTAGATACGCTTAAATATTGATGCATCTACGATTGAGGATTTTTATAAAATAAATATTTTTACTCCCCTTATTGATACATTTTTATTTAAATTAAAGGAAAGATTTATTAGTCACATTTTTATTTTAAACAGCTTTTATTTTCTGTTGCCGGTTGAGTTTAAATACACTTGAAACGCGAGAGGATATTAAGAAAATCTCAATTTTATTCTGATGAATTATCAGGATCGTATGATAAATTACTTTGTGATGTCGAATTTTGGTATAAAAATTTTGACAGAATAGAGTACTCTTTGAGACCAAAATATGCTTTGCAGGCCCTTTTTTATGTATAATTGCACTTTAGATTCCCTGCCTAATATCAAAACATTGCTTTTTATCTTGGTTACCTCACCGATTAGCACATGTACTAATGAGTAATGAAAGGTCTTTTTCAACTTTAAGGTTAAAAACCTATTTAAGAAATACGGTAAAAGCTGTTTAAATAATTCGCAATATTAAATATTTATAAGGAGATTATTCTAGATAAAAATTTGATTCTAGACGAATTAGTCAAATCTCAGAGAAAAGTAGACCTCTCTTTATAAATTCAAATATAAAATAGCTATATTATTATATGATCTTAGTCATAAAATTTTTATATTCAAAACGTAATTAAAATGAATTCTTAGTTAATATTTATATATTATACTATTTTTAATAAAAATATTGCATTTGCACTAAGAATGATCTGCATCGGGCCTAATTTTTCAAGCCCGGCCCTGCCCGAAATTTTTTGGAAAAAGTTTTGCTGGCCCGAACCCGAATTCTTTTTAAAAAGGTTTTGTCGGCCTGGCCTGAATTTATTTAAATATAAAAATTCATTTTTATAATTACTCAAAATAAAAGATATATGTTATATGGCGTCTAGTTTTTATAAATAAAATCAATTTTTTTATTTTACATTGAAAACTAATGATATATATATAACTATAGATTGGCGATCATGCATAAAAAAACGTCCACACATTGAAATCAGCTGTAGCGCCATTTTGTAGCTTGTACGTTGATCAATGCCTCAATAATAATAATTTTTAAAAATTTTATATCTAATAAATTGTTAATAATTAAATGAATCCTAACCTTAACTGATCTTCAATTAAATTATATTGGTATTCTATAAAATAAAAAAACTCAACATTTAATCCAATAGTAGTACATAACATCATTGTTGAAAACTTAACACAAAATTGATATATTTTAAAAAAATTCCAAGGCCCAACCCCACCCGGCCTGAATTTTTTTAAGAAATTAGGCCCGATTTTTATACTTTTGCGGATCTCTAATAAGAAATATTTATGTTTTATTAATATACTCATTTGTATTAATTATATTATAATTGTTAAATTAGATTTTTTTAAATACTGCATAAGAATTACTTATACTTTATTGTAATTCTATTTTTTTTAAATATAGTTATTTAGAATAAATTTTTAATATAATCTGTATAAAATTTATACATTTTGAAATTTATTGAATTGTATAAATAATAAATAAAATCTATAATGAAATTCTCTGCAAATTTTTGTTATGTGCAAAAATTTAATTAAAATAATTATTTTTAACATAGAATAAGATATATTGGGTGATCATAAAAAATGGTAGATTTGGGGGGCGATTTTATTCTTATTTCTACACCGAATGGATTGAAATAATTTACAATTGACTAAACATTGATAAAATTTTCAGAATAATGCTTTCAGTCGCGTATTAATCATAAATTTGGCCAAAATTTTGTTACTAATATTTTTTTCATTTATGCTGGCTAATATAGTGGTTAGAAAAAAAATTTTAAAACCCCCCTCAATGGATCAATCCTGGCTACGCCACTGGTTGGGATATATAAGTAGTCAAGCTTTTTATATATTTTTGGCTTATTTGCCGTTAAAGGATTTAATAGTCTCGGGAATAGAGGAATTTTTAAAACATAAAAATGATGGGCTTCAATTAATTTTAAGTATTTATACAAATTTTTTGTAACACATCATGATTTTATAAGGACAATTTTGTAAATTCATAAAAGATTTTAACATTAAATAAGTAATATATAACATGTAATAAAATAAGTTGATTTGAATAAGATTTCATGGGTGTTAGGTCATGTCTAATTAAGCTAAACAAATTTTTAAAATCAACTTAATTATAATCGAAATCCTTCTTAATATGATTTTGGTGTTTAAACATATATTAGACTATAAGATTTTGAGTAAACATATATTAGTTTAGAAGCAAGCAATATTGGTAAGTTTTAAAAATGAGATTTAAATTTGCACATACATATGGATGAATTAATATTTAATATATAATTTTAATTTTTTGATTAATTATTATTGCAGTTTTCCTTAAATTAAATATAATATTTTACAACTTAAATGCTATTTTGAAAACTAAATATAAAAATCACATTTATGAATTTTAAGTTCGGTTATTTAAGCCAATATGATAACGGCCATTTTTATTTATATATTTTTTTATAAGTTAAAAAATGTTTTATTGATTATTTGATAATATGAATGAATAAAATAGATTACTATATTAAAAACTTTGGAATTCAATAATTTTCTACTTATCAATTGTACACCATGAATGATTTTGATGGATGGAAATAACTCAATAATTTCACCTAAAAGTTTATCAAGTGTCATAATTTATTATAGAGACCACAAATTATCACCTCTATATAAATTAAGTGTAGATCTAATTAAAACATATAAATACATAAATGGGGTAATAAAATATAAGATTATTATTATAGATGTCTTATGTTTTATAATTCATTTCATCATGCTTTTTTTTATGATAAAAGCTATATTATGCAAAAAAGAAAAAACGAACCCAACATACATTAGAAAATTTATCAAAAAAAAATAAAATATATAATGATGGATTTGATGATGAAAATCATGATTATATAGTTAGACATGGTGAGAAATGGTTCAATCGTTATCAGATTCATTCATTGATTGGGAAAGGTTCATTTGGCCAAGTACCTTTTTTGTTTTATTTATAAATTATAATATAATTAAATTATAAGGTTGTTAAGGCATATGATTTTGTTGAAAGAGAATATGTTGCAATTAAAATAATAAAAAACAAAAAACCTTTTTTGAATCAAGCAGAAATTGAAGTGCGCTTACTAGAACTTATGAATCAAGTAGATGATGATAATCAAAATTATTTTGGGAAAAATTTTATAGGTAACTATTAAATAAATAACATTTATAATCTCTTATATTCAGTTAAATTAAAAAGATATTTTACTTTCCGGAATCATTTATGTATTGTGTTTGAGTTATTATCATATAACCTTTACGATCTATTAAAGAATACAAACTTTCGAGGTGTTTCACTAAATTTAACCCGTAAATTTGCCCATCAATTATGCACAGCATTACATTTCTTATCTTGCCCATCAATAAATATAATTCATTGTGATTTAAAACCTGAAAATATTTTATTATGTAACCCAAAAAGAAGTTCTATCAAAATAGTGGATTTTGGAAGTTCTTGCCAAATTGGGCAAAGGGTACTTAAAATATGTCTTTAGTTAACCTGTTTATTTGTTAGATATATCAATATATACAGAGCCGATTTTATCGTAGTCCTGAAGTTTTATTGGGAATTCCATATGATACAAAAATTGATATGTGGAGTTTAGGCTGTATACTAGTAGAAATGCATACAGGGGAACCATTATTCAGTGGCCAAAATGAGGTTAGAATTCCATATATAATTTTTTATATGGATATTTGTAAAAAAAAAACACCAGATTGATCAAATGTTCAAAATTGTAGAAATCATGGGGACACCACCAAATTATTTATTAGATAAATGCCCCAAAACAAAACTCTTCTTTGAAAAAGAAAATGACAATTATCTTCCTAAAGTTAACATCAAAGATACAGAGAACCATCTAAATGTTAATGTAAATATCGCAAATATATATACATTTAAAATGAATGTTACAAATTAATTTCTGTTGTAATATATTGTTTAGTTTTAAATTACCTACAAAAAATCTTAAGCAATTTATTAAAAAAGGTATACCATAATTTTTTTATAAATTGAACCAATCATACCTAATATTTTAGAATCTATTTTATAATTGAGATTATTTATTGATCAAATGGTTAAAAATATAAATATATTTGTTAAATTTAAAAACAGCAATTAAAACACTTTGTACATTAGAATCAGTTGTAGACGCCATTTTTGTGATCTGCATAGAATTAATATATTTTACTTTAGTTTGGATATCCCTAAAAGTATGAGATCTATATATTCGTGAACACACTTCTGTTAAATTTAAAAACAGCAATTAAAACACTTTGTACATTAGAATTAGTTGTAGACGCCATTTTTGTGATCTGTATAGAATTAATATATTTACTTTAGTTTGGATATACCCTAAAAGTATGAGATCTATATATTCGAGAACACACTTCAACTAGTGGGGGACCATGAAAATATGTTGTACACTTCAGCTGATACAGGGGGTTATGAAATTTTCAATTTCTGGTAATAATGAATGAATGTATATTTTTTTAAAGAAATATAACGATAAATATTATTTAGTCATCTGCAAACCACAAAATGGCGTATACATCTGATTATGATGTGTACATTTTAAATAAATAAATCGTTAATCTAGGTTATTATTTATGTGTAGTCTAAACAATTAAAAGTCAGAAGAAACAAATTTTATATAGAGGCAAAAATATTATTAAAAATATTTGGGTTATTTATAACCTATTTCTTTACACAAGAAATAATTACAAAAAACAGTTCATTATAACGAAATCAGACTTAAAATGTGTAATATTTTAGTTATCAAATTTTTTAATCAATTATCTTGAAAATTTGCCGATTTCAGAATATAAAAAATTTAAAATAATTACATTTATTGTGCATTATATAATTTGTATTTAAAATTTATAAAAAAATAGTAAAAACTTGTAACAACTAATAATCTAATAAGATATATATTTTGTATGCATAATACATAATTTCATTAGGTCCAATTTTTTTTAGAATATATTATTGGTCTGGTTAATAAAAACTTGCAACTATATTTAATATCTCATTCATTAATAATTATACATTTGTTATTATATTATAAAGGAACAAAACCCCAAGAAAAAATTTTTGGATGATATATTGGGAGTAAATATAGGGGGTCCAGAAGGTAGAAGAAAAGGTGAAACTGGACATACAGTTCAAGACTATTTAAAATTTAAAGACTTGATTTGCAGAATGTTAGCTTATGATGCTGAAACAAGAATATCCCCTCTTGATGCACTAAGACATCCATTTTTCAAAAAATCACTTGACACCTTTGACAGTATAAACCAAAAAGATTTATACAGCAATAATAGTAAATTTTTACTGTTAAATATTAAATTAATTTACAATTTAGCCATCCACAAAACACAAAAAAATATTAATTCCTTATTACATATGATAAATAATGAAAATACTACCAATCCTTACTCTTTGATGCTACATAATTTAGATCCAAAGTTAAAAAATATGAGTGCGATAAATATGGATATTAACAATAATTTGGTTTTGCCTATAATACCATGCCATAACACACCTATTATTAAAAATATTGTCACATCCCCATTGCATTATGACTTCTTTGCAAATCCCTCATTACCACAGTGCCATGACTTAAATCATGAAAAACAACATATTCTCACCCATAACACAAAGACAAGCTTGAGTAATGAGCAAATAGGAAATCAAAATGAAATGTTTAATGAAATTTTTAAAATATTTTTACCAGAATATTATAAGGATCTTAAAACCAATGAAATAAATTATCCTAATATTAACTTAAAGAATAATGAATTTAACAATATTTATAATTATTATTATCAATTATATTTGGAATATCTAACAAAAGCTTTAATAAATGAAAAAATCTTGACACATAAATATCATCCAATAAAATATAAATCTGAATATGAATCTTCCATACCAAACATATTACCTTTAATAAATAATGGGCAAACAAATAACATTCATGATATTATATTTACCATGTTCGCAAACAACCCATTAATATTATCTAATTTTTTATTAACAAATTTTATGTTTAATCACAATAATGTCACCATAAATGATGCAGATATCAATGAGGGCCATAAAATAAATTTTAATAATTATTTTGATAATTATAAGTCCAACAATATTAGCAGTAGTTTGATTACCACTCAAAACAACCAATATAAAAATTTCCCATTTTATTTATCTTCAAATCAATTCCCAGGAATAAATTTATTGGATTCACAAATAAAAATGCATAAAGAGGATTTCAATGAAACTTTAGATGCTAACCTAGATTTGTGCTCTCAATATATAAATGCTAATGATAACAATAAAAATAACCTAAAAAATATTATGTCGTTTATATCATCGTAAAAGAATATAATGATAAAAATAATCTTTAAGCATAAATTTACAGGACAGAGCTGATTAAAATTTTTTCTTTATTATAACTGCCTCTTTTTTTATATATATATAGCAAAATGTTTATTATTACTAAAAGGTGCCATTTTTATATTGTATATAATTTTTATATATTATGTAAATATTGTACATTATATGAAATTTTTTGTATAAAATATGAAGCATTTATTTATTTTATATTTAATAAATTATTTAATTTATGTAAAGTAATGCTTCATTCCAGGTATTAGTGATTGGGTTAAATAGTTATTAGGGTTTGGTTAAATACATACTCATTCAATATTCAAAAAATTAAAACAAGTTTTTCAGGTAAATCTGACCTATAATAGTCAAGAATAAACTATCATTGAAAATAACACTTTCCCTCAAAAAATTTATCACATTTTTGTCACAAATGCTGTATTTGTAATTAATAAATTTTTTATAGGTTTTTGGCAATTTACCTATAAAATAATTAATTTTTTAATATATAGTAATATTTTTTTAAACCTTTATGGACCAACTTATAAACTTATTTTTGTTATGTTCTTTTGTTGATGCAAATTGGTTGAATGCTTAAGCTGGGTTTTTATAAAATTTTAAATTCGAAATTTTTTGTAAATAATTTTTTAAGTATAAATCTTTTGTTATTTTTTATACATAAAAAATCATTATGATAAAATCACAAATTAAAAAAATATATTTTGATTAAAATTTAGAGGATAAAAGTTTTATACATTTTTTTTAAACTCTAAACTAAATATAATTACATAATAACCTAATTCATCATACTGTTTGAAATAGAATATCTGCCATACATTGGAGTAGTTAATTTATTTATGCTTTGTTCAAAGTTGGAGCTATATTATCAAACTAAAACCTGGAGGTGATAGTTTTAGCTAAAAACTAAGTTTATTCATTATTTTATTAAAAATAGAGTAATTATTCAACTATAAATTGTTATTTTATTGATTATCTCAAAAAGAAATTCATTCATGGAAGGAGAATATTTAAACAAAAAAATATAAGTTTAAATTTGATGAAAGTTAATATTATAATGCAAATTTATTTATAATCATCAGAATTGAACCTAGTATTGAAATATATGCCTTATAAGTATAGTATTAATAAACCAAATTGATGATAAAACAATATAATCCTAAAAGTAAAATTTTTTTAAAGTAAGATTTATAAAAATATTAATAGCAATTACCTGCTAATAGTAACTTGGTAGTGCCTATTCTATCACATATTCTTACATCATACTTAATAACAGATATTAAAAAGTATGGTAAGTGAAAGATCAGATTTTATTGAATACATATTTAAAAAATATTGGCTTAGAAAATGAATATAAATAAGCTCTGCTTATATTGTCAAGCATTTTTTAAGCATAAAAAGTAAAATATTATACCTTATAATTAATTCTTGTAAATATCGATTTCTGACAAAGGATTCCAGACTATAATTATTTAAAATTAGAATTAATAAAATTATAATCTAAAAAAAACCTGATTTAAAAATCTTATGACTTAAAATTTTATTATATTGTTTCGCAATCTTAATTCAGTTAATGCTTTATTTCCAGTCTCCAAAATAACTGCTCTAAAACAAAGGTATGTGACGTCATGAACAATTTAAAGTTCTGATGACAAAACTTCGTAAAATTAAAACAATTTTGAGGTATGAATATTTAAGGTAGTAGAGAAGTGTTAGGCATTAACAAATATATAAAAATATCACATTTAAAATTTTATTAAATAATTTAATGATAAAATGTAATAAGCGCAATAATCTCAACAGATATAGTATGATATTCTTTTAATAGAAGTTTTTCGATATTTTAAACAAATCATTATATATTATATTCGAATAAAATATAGATGTTTTACAATGACATATTATATGTCATTGCTGTTTACATTATAATTTTATTTATTATGGAAGCAAATTAAATTTTTAACATCCGATGCATAGCTAAGATTTTTTGCAGAATTTTATTATAGATAAAAGTGTTATTATATATACTGGGTTTATATAACGTTGCTTAAAGCTCAATTTGGGTAGGCTTTTAAAAACGCCCTGATTATAATTTTCGACAAAATTATATTATTAAGCCAGAAGATTGTTATAGATGCAGAAAGGGGTGGTTATATTTGCCAAATCTCGAGGCTTACTTATATTCTGGCTAAAATCTTAATCAGACCGTTTTTAAAAATAGATTAAAATCGGGCTTTTAACATAATAGTTTACATATTGAGACGGATGTAAGAATATAATTATTGAATAAGTAAGACATACAAGACATTTAGAGAACTAATAGAAATAAGGGATATAAATATAAGTTGTAGTTATATAAATTAATTTATTTTCAACATATCATATTTACAGGGTTGGGAAAATTTTCAGAAAATTGTATTCGGATACAGATACTTTATAAAATTTTGTATTTAAGATACAAGATACTTTAGAAAAATTTCAATAAGATACAAGATACTTTTTTAAAAAACTTTAAATGGTCCAAATCAAAATGCATAAAGCTTTATTTTCTTATCTATAATATAAATTTATAAAAAAATATTTAAAATAAATTGTAGAAAATAACAAATTTATTATAAAAGATAATGCGATATTCCATTTGATAATTATATAATTAGTAAATAATAATAAATCAGCATCAATCAGCATTATTTTTTAATATTATTAATTTTTCAAATGATTTATCGTTCAATCTTTGACGATTTGGTTTATTAATCATATTAGCAAAGCTAAATAATCTTTCAACGGGGGCTGAGGAGGGTAATATTGTGTTATATTTAATAAATATTTCTTTTATATATTTATAACTATTTAACATATTTATACTCCGCATGTCATCTTTCATATAATTTAGGACCTCTATTTCAATATCATTTATCGAATTATTAGAATTGGATGTGGTACTTTCAAGGCAAAAGTAATCATCATCTTCATCAATTGAAGATTTTGTTGAAGTATTAATTTCAATATTATTTTTAAAAACAATTAAAACTTCATGTAATAACAAATCCTGAAGATATTTTTTTTCACCATCAATCCAACGATTTTTAAAATAGGGATGAGAAATAGTTGCCAAAAATGCACTTTTAAAATTGTTATCAAAATCATATATATTTTTAAATCTTTTATTTAAATAATTTTCTATAATGGTTTGCAAAATTGTAGATTGGTTTGAATTAAATTTGTAATTTTTTTTAAAGACATTTAAAATTGGAGCTGATTCTTTTCACTCTGTATTTTGTCGATCGCTATAGCCAATAGGGCCTTTATATTGCAATATTCTTCTAAATATTGAATTTCAATATCTCTTAATTTAGGAAATTCTAATTTTTGATATAATTCAGGAAGTTCGCCTTTAAATTTTAATAAACTATGAAGATTTTCATACAAACTATTCCATCTAGTGCAACAAGGTGTAACTAATTGTTTTCCTAAAACTGCTTTGATAAGTTCTGCAGTTTTAGGCCTATTATTTGCATTCCATAGCATAGTACATTTAGCTATTGCAGGATGATGAATTTTAGAAATGTTAGGAGAATCCTTAATAGCTCTCTCGACATCTGTTGTGGCAATTAGACTTATCGTATGGCACAAACAACGAATGTGTTGAGGCAATGTTATTGAGGCTTCTTTAGACCCTTAAATAAACAAATAAATAATTTTATTTGAATAAAATTTTTTACTAAATTTACAATATCATAATAAATTTTAACATTGATGTCAAAGTCATTATCTACAGCTTCCATAGAATATCCAAACTCCTTGAAAGCTTTCTTAAAGTTAGAGCCGTTATCTGTAACAGTTGCTCTAACTTTTTCGTCAATACCAAAGTCTCGATGAATTTCTTTATTAAGATCATCCTGAAGTACTTCAAAAAATTTGCCATTAAGTATGCTTAGTTAAAATTTATTGTTATAATTTTCGGTTGAAGAATCATCTGAAGACGAAGATAAACATATTATTCTATTTTCTTCTTCCATAATTTTAAAATAGACAGATATAAAACGATTCAAATATAGTAGTTCTAATTGTTAGCAAATTGCTATATGACGACCAACGTCATATATCAAAAATTATCTTAAAATATCTAAATTTTGATTAAATTTTTCATTTAAATCTTAAAACAATATCATTTTAAATTTTAATACTATTTTAACCAATATAAATTTTTTTTAAAGTATTTGTACCTTTTTGAATACAAAGTTGGTTAAGATACAAATACTTTTAAATAATATGTATCTTAGATACTGGATACAAGATACTTTCCAAAATTTTAAAAAAGATACAAATATCCGCGATACTGCCCAACCCTGCATATTTATAGTATATTAACTTTCAGGCAACGTATCAATATAAATGATTTGCTATAAAATTAGTTGGATAATAAATATAATTACCTTAGGTATCTTTAAATAATCGTAAATAATTCTTTTTATATAAATTAATTAAAATATAATGCAGCAACAACAGAGGAGCTGGGTTTAAAAAAAATATATATTATACTTTTTAAATTGAAATTTGTAAACTCTGATATAATGTTCAAATTCCATATTATATTATTTATTATGCATACATACCATAGGCGTAGCCAGGGGTAGGGGGGTAAGGGAAAATTCCCCTTTAGAAATCTATCACTTTTTGGATATCATTTTAAGCTAATAAAAAATATCCCCTTAGTCCTCACCCCGCTCCCTGACCCCCAAAAATGTATGCATATATCGTAAACAATAATTTGAAAGAAAGAATGTAAAAGTTTATAACTATTCATCATAATTTATACATTTTTGGAAAAAAGCATTTGTATATAAAAAAAGTGAACCAAAAATGTTTTTTAAGAAATGGAATATAAAACAAAGATAAGTCTCAAGGCAAAAGTGAAATGTATTATTATTATTAATAGCTCCATAAAATTACTAAATAATATAATATATCAAATATAATTTTTTAATAAGTGAGTAATTTTAATTTATTTATCTTAATAATAGTAAAATATAATTATAAAACTATTGATAAAATTAAATCATAAATTAAATAAAAAAATTAGAGCACAATTAGGTTCCGTATAATGATTTGGATCTTAGAAATTAAGAATAGGTATACGTCAGAAAGCGCATACGCCCTTTAAACGTTGTAGGTACAACAGAGCTACGCTAGGTATTTCTCATTTGCATCTAATTGAATAAAATAAAATTTGGGGAAAAGATGAGAAGCCCTTTACACGTTTGTGGGCAAGCCGCACGTACTTGTAGGCACAACATTTCGAAAAATGTTACTTAAACCTCTATAGGCTTTAATTTAAAAGGAGTGGGACAAATAAAAAGCCTATACCCGAGAACTACAGTATAATTTAATTACTTTAAAGGTGGGTGATGGCTGATTTTAAGCTTAATTTCTTTAATGTAAGTTATATCTGTAAATAAATATGATTAAAATAAAATAATATTTACCACCGGATGAACCGAACACAAAGCTTAATTTTAAAACATTGAAGAATTCAAATTTAAAATCGATTTAGAACACAACAAAATAGAAATAATTCCATTATTAAAAAATGAATCAGAATAGGTATAGTAAATTTAATTTAACTATGAGTAATATAGTTGATTAGTGATTTTAAACTCAGCTAAAGCAAATCGCTATATTAAATTGGATTTATTCTATTTTATATTAATAAATGATTATATTTATTTAATTAGAGTTATAAAATAATTTAAATAATAAAAATCAATTTAACTGTTAGTGCCATAATATTCATATATTGTTATGTATATAAATACCTATTAATCGTCATATAATATATTATATTTGTTATCTATTTAATATCGTATTTCAAACACTAATAATTCTATAATAATGTATAATTTTAAAATAATAATATACATATAAGTAATATAAAATTATTATAACTCTGAGTGATATTGTTATTCCATTTTTAAAACAGAATTTGATTGCAATTATTAACATAGTGAAAATAAAGTTTATAGTATTAATTTAATAATATTTTTTTTAAAATAATATTAAATCTATATTTAATACATAATAAAATTCTAAAAAAAATTAAAAAGGGGGCTATTAGCGAGTCATTAAAAAATTGTTCAGGGGACTATAAAAATTTCGAGGGGGATCGAGCCCCTGCAAGCATCTCATAGTGACTCTACTAAAAAACAACGCTTATTTAGGACCCGTAGCATCACTATGTGGGAGAGCGCAGGGGCTAGAGCCCCTTGAAAAATTTGAATAGCTCGCTTAAGCAAAAAAATTTTTCTAATAGCTCCCTAATATCCCACTAAACTAAAAATAAATTTTTTTGATAGCGCCCTCAACGATTTCTTTTATAATTCTATTATTATTATTATATATTAGTGCTGTAAACATTTCTAAAAAAATCGAACGCGTTCGCGTTCAACGTTTATTGACAAAAATTGAACGCGTTCACGTTCAAGTTCATGTTCAAAAATAAGGAACGCGTTCACGTTCAAGTTCATGTTCAAAAATAAGGAACGCGTTCACGTTCAAGTTCATGTTCAAAAATAAGGAACGCGTTCACGTTCATAAAACCGTTCAAAATTTTATGATAAATTTTTTTTAAATTTATATAATATAATATAATATAATATAATATAATATAATATAATATA